CACCAACCTTATCACTCTTGATGGAGATGCCGTGGAGGACGTTAACACCTTTATATATCTGGGCAGCATCATCGACAACGCAGGAGGATCCGATGCAGATGTGAAGTGGTGGATTGGCAAAACAAGGGCTGCATTTCTACAGTTGAAAAATATCTGGAACTCCAAACAACTTTCAACCGAAACCAAAATCAGGATCTTCAATACAAATCTTAAGACAGTTCTACTGTATGGAGTGGAAACCTGGAGAACTATGAAAGGCGTCATCCAGGAGATACAAGTGTTTGTTAACAGTTGTCTACGCAAAATAATTCGGATTCGTTTGCCAGACACGATCAGCTACAACGTACTGTGGGAGAAAACAAACCAGATTCCAGTGGAGGAGGAAATCAGGAAGACGCGGTGGAAGTGGATAGGACACACACTACGGAAAGCATCTAACTGCGTCGCGAGACAAGCCCTCACATGGAACCCTCAAGGTAAGAGGAAAAGAGGAAGGCCACAGAACACACTGCGCCGAGAAATAGAGAAAGACATGAGAAGAATGAACAAAAATTGTATACAATTGGAAAGGGAAGCCCAGGACAGCGGTGGTTGGAGAAAACTGGTGGGCGGCCTATGCTCGATTGGGGGTAACAGGCGTAAGTAAGTAAGTAAGATTTATATCTCGACCAGTTACAAATCGTGTTTTTCAGAGCAGTGTATTGGGTTTGCTGATTTTCATAATCTATCATCCATCATTATATTGTGCAAATTATCATTACTTTCAACAATCCAGTTCTTTGAATTTCCTCTATCCACAAGATTATTTGCCGATTCGTTATCCTGCTAGTGACTTGTTCTCAATAACCTGCATAAGTGCATTCGTACAGTTAGTGTCACACTGCCTGTAAATTGGCATGTCTCTTTTAACATGTTATTTGAGTAGTTATTATTATTACCATATACGGATCCAGACATGACTTGCTGCAATTTTCGACCATCAGTCTTTCGTCGCAACGCAACATATTTGGTTCGCACAAACTTTTACAGAGTTCATTCCAGTACTGTGTGTAAAACTTCATTCCCTAATTTACTAAAAGATTAAGATACATTTTCAAATGGTGGTGTTAATAAATTTTTCTGATATGGTAAGCAGGATCGTGGTTTATAATTCGTTTGAAAGTTATAAATATAAACCCATATTTCTTACTGTAGGACAGTGAAACATTTTTCTCCAGCCCACAGCTCTTTAAAAGCTTTTTTAAGGTGTTTTTGCACCTAGCTGGGTAGTTGAATATAAGATCACATCCAGGCTGTCGACACATGAATCTCATTTAGAATTTTTACTCTCATATCTGGTTTGGGATATTCATTTTCGGGGTGATAAATGAGCAGTATCCAAGCGGGTGTCTAATTTACGTTTACAAGTGGATAAGCGTAGCCTCCCCAGTAAAAGTATTACTTATGAACTCCTTATATATTTACAGATAATAATGGAGGCATCTTGTTCACATTTTGTGTCTCCTGAATACTGGATACCCATCTCGTGCGCTCGTATGAGTTTCTGGATCCGGCATTTTTGTAAGTACAGTAGTATTCCAAGGTAATAATTGCCGAAATTCATGATCCCCTATTCTTCGTTGTTAAATTGTAACGACTATGTTTCGCCTCATGCAAATAAGTTGTCAGTATTTGGGCTACATTAAATTTCGTCTTTATTGTTTTCCACATCGCTACCAACTCACCTCAGAACTCATAAAGCTGTAGCTGCTGGTATCCAGAAACCCTAGTGCTTTGAAAAACCTCACTCACAAATATCCCAAAATCAATATATTCATCAAAAATTAGCAACTGAAAAAAAATACGTGCAGTCGAGTGGCCAGACTACCAGTAGCTGGACATAACCAAGTGATTTGAGCGATATTAAAACAATCAGTAGCGAGAGTAAAGAAATCTACGAACTAATGCTCATCCATGAAACAGTCATATGGTATTGAATGTCATCCATAGTTAACTGCACATATTCGTATCTCTCCGTTTTCCACAATATATAAATATATATATATATATATATATATATATATATGAAAGTTTTATTGATTCATGTCAGTGAACGTTTCAGATATAATTTCAGTCTACCAATCATTAATACCAATAAAGCTACGAGATCCTCGCCCCTTTATATAATGCTTTATTTTATCTCAGTAGGAACCTCGTTTGTTATCCGAATGTCATTTGATATCAAATCACAGTAAGCTTATAAGATGCAATGTATAATATTACTGGTTATACAAAAAGACTGCGTTATGTTTGCTACAGTTTAGGGTGCTTGTTGAGTTTTGATTTAGAGAACTGGCCGCCTATGTATTTGACCGTGACAGCGCAGAACCAGTGGATTGGTTTGCGTTAACCCACATTACGGTAAACGTATGTTTTGCAATAATTGGTGATGAGTTTTCCGTTTGCCACCCGTAGATTGCGAAGCTGATCGTCACATGATGATTCGCGCTTGCTTGGAATAACGCTAGCCCTTCCCTTAATGTCGATCAGGTGTGTTTTGGAACATTTGTGAGTTAGGGCTATGGAAACTGTAGGCTTCCCCACAGTTTCCAGAAGAGTTGCTTTGGGTGTTCGGTGTAAAAGCCAATTAGCTTTATCTGTTTCTCAGGTCTACAGTCAGATTTTTCCCGAGATCGGCTTCTTCGAAGAGATTTCAGACACTTGAGATCATTTCGAAGGTTTAAAAAGGCTAGTGACTGTTTCAGATGTCTGTAATTTATATGTGGATCAATTAAGACGTTTGTTCAGCAGAAAGAACCCTGAAGCCATTGATGCTGGCGATCTGTTTCATAAATCTGAGAACGAAATGATCACGAAATTTTGATAAATTGCCCTCTAACTTCTCAAGATCGACAGAATATTCTTCATAGTGCCCAGGTTATGAGGTGATATGATTGTAAATGGATTTTCTACCGTAGCGGTTCCAATGGTTTCCAGTAAGTGCAATTTGTACGCGTATCTCTTAGTCCAATGTCCAGAAAACACAACAATTCTAGGAGAAAACGGTCTATATTATATTAAAAGATGGAAATACAAAGCAATACCTGAAGTTGATGCACCTTCCAAGGCACAATTACTCCGAGGAGTATCCAAGGCAAAGGGGAATAAGTGACGTTAAGTCCAACCGCCACCGTATCAATCCAAATATGGCTGTGGCCATATTAAAGATCAAATTTAAACAACACATATACAGTTCAGAA